CCCACTGCATCCTCCCTTTCTCCACACCCTTCTGTGCCCCCCCCCCCCCCCCCCCCCCCCTCTTTCTCCGTCATGCCCACCATTCCCCTCACACACTCCATCCTTTTCTCCCCCATCTTAGGCTCCTTGGCCTTTCTTTCATTTTGCTTCACGCCTCCTCATTTCTGAATGCACGTCCTTGCTCTCTCTCTCACTCTCTCTCTCTTTTTCTCTCTGCTCAGGGCCATAAAACAGGAAAGGAAGCTGCGTCTGTGTGTGAGCGTGTACGTGTTGTGCAGCATGTATATATTCGGCTTTGCTTCTAAATGTGAATCGAAGGCCTCCAGGATGTAGGGTATCTGCATGCATTGCATGGTTCCCCATCTTATGACATGTGCTGGGACTCCGACACGATCAGATCTGGTTTCCATGACTACCGATGCCCCACTTAAAACCGCTGCTCCATAATAGTGTATGTGCGTGTATGCATGCGTGTATACATGCATAAATACACACATACATTCATACCGCATGTTCCAGTGAGCATGTGCATTCCTTTGAGTGCCTGTATCCGTGCATCCATATGCAGCATCTCTGCTTTTCTTCTTTGCATGTGAAAACCGAGGACCGGAGGAGTTACAGTACCCCTGTGTGTATCTGTGTGTGTTTTCTCATAATGAGGCACGCACTTTAATCTTTAATGCAGCCGAAACTACAACAAGCACACAGTCTGAGCCGGTGCGGGTTCTGACATAGACTTCTTCACCATGTCAGCGGGAGACTAAGTCACACAGTAACGGGACGGCAGTGAACATGGCTGTCCTTTGGACACTCAAACGGGCCAATACATCAGCATGTAAAGGGGAAAAGCGGGACTACTTTGGGAAAAGTGAGTTCCTTTTTCGTTTTCCCTTCACTGCATGCATCATTGGGCTGCCAGTACCTTGGGCGCCTGAGAGGGTGAGGGCAGACAGCACCCAGGAGAAGTCCGGCTTCTTCTCTCCTCTTTGTTCCCATTAAAGCACAGATCTGCATGCGCACGACATTCTCGACACGTCAGCTGCGTCTGCACGCACACGCATACTCACACACTCCGGCAGATGCACAGCGCCCTCACGCACGCACGCACACACAAACACACACACACATAGAGGAAACTCCTCCGGTGTGGGTGTTCAAGTCCAAACAAACGCTGATGAGTCATCTCTCTGTGAGCCTCGGCGGTGCTCTGCTGGAGCAGCTCCTCTGTGTCTATGTCTACACGGTGCAGCCACCAGGCCGAGCGGCGGCGACAGGAGCGCAGTGTCCCGTTCAAGATTCTTTCATATGTCAGGAGTGGACCGATGACGTGATAAAGAAAAAGGAGCAGCACACTTAAAAAGGGTCCATTAGATGATGAACGATGAAAACCTCACTGACAAGGGAAGACAGGTTACCAAGTAACTACATGACTTGTGTCTTCAACCCCATCACATTTTAGTGAAAACTGTACTTTCTTTTAATCCAAAACATTTGCCTGACAGATATAATCACTTATACTGCCAATATTTGACATACAAATAATCTTGGAAAGCCTTATATATTGTTATGGATTCGTCTCCCTAGCAGTATAAACGTAATGCATCAGTAATACACAAAAAATATATATATATTTTTTATATGTATATATATTTATTTTATGTATATACAACATATATAAATATAATATAGATTCTCAGTCGGTGTGGGGAAGCTTTCTACGGAATAAAATAAATCAAATACATAATGAAATGTTGGTTTTGTTGCATCTCTCTGCTGGTGCCGCTTATTGGAGGAATTAAATGTGTCCCAAATAAGCGTAATGAAATAAAATAGGACACACAATTGAGCTACAGATTTTGTTTTCTTATAACTCTATACACAAAGGCTCAGTATTTCCATCAGGATTAAAGTGACGATTGGCCAACTCTCCAAAGAGAAACGATCTCTGTCTCGTAAGCCTCTGTACATTTACTTTTCTCTGTTGTTGTGAGCAAGATAAGTCACTTCAGTGCTCAGGAAGGTCTGAATGTCAATACTCCCTAAAGAATACAGCGATCAGCGTGAGAGAGATGAAGAGCTTCTCGAAAACAAAACAAAAAGAGGAAAAAGCTGAGCCCCCGTAAGCATGATTAATATGGTCCTTTTGCCACTTAATTCAGAAGACAATAAGATCTGCCACAGAAGAAAAAAGGAGGGGAAACACTGGGAGATGTTGGAGAAACGTTGTTGAAGATCTTGACTGGGAAGACGCATGTGAAGGAGTCCACGCGTGAAGCTGTAACAGAATAAAACAATTTTCCACCAAGACCTTCGGTGCAAGTGTGTCGAATTTTTCTTTGTTCTAACGTTGCTGACGACAAACCTAAAGAGACTGTTAAAGTGCACAAAACAGCGTGTGGGGCAAATGCCTGTGGCTCTGTGTTTGAAGTGCCTTCCCCTTCCCACCGTGGAGCTTTTGTATTGATCACAAGTTCAGATAGAGGAAAGTTTAATTTGGCCTGTTCCTCGTTGGCTGACTTGCACGTCTACTAATGTTTGTAACCAACCGCCATGTTGTCACTACTGTTCCTATTGCTCAAGGCCACCATTCGTTTCTTTTTTGTTGCAGACCTCTCAACACATTTGACCTGTAGCTAATCTCATCGCCAATCAAAATTTCACTCTCCTAATGAGCGGTGAGGCAGCAAGCTTTCCTCGGATCGGAGGACGAAGCTTTAACTCCACACTGGCTTCTCACAAGGCAGGAGAATCATTGTAATCGCTCAACGCATCGTGTCCTGAACACTCCCCGGGCCTGTCCCCTGAGGCTCTGCAAAGCACGTTGACTCCTTATCAGCTTGCATTTACCATAATGAAAAGGGACCTGGTCTGGAAAAACAATATGGACTTTTAGGAAATCCATCAATGTGTAGAAGCGGGGACACCGTGTGTGTTTGAGTGTGTGTGTCATCCACACAAGGGATTAAGTCATTCTCAGAAGTGAGGGGATCGCACCACCCCCCCCCCCCCACCCCTCTCCCCATGTCCAGTGTCTGTCAATAGGCCTACCACCTTCTGACCAGAGTGTGTGAGAACGGCTCCTACCACACACACACCAACATGCACACGCACACACGCACGCGTGCACGCACACACACACAGCCCCACTTGCATGATTAGTAATTACTCTTTCACACCGTCTCTTTGAAGGGACATATCTCTTCGTCGTGGCCTCATATAGTATCGGCATTGCGCTGTCCACGGTGCTGAATCCCACAGTATACGGCCGGTTTAGGTGGTGGTGGTAATGCATGAGGGGCGGGGGTAGAGGGGGGGGGGGGGCGCATGCAGCTAACTACATTAAACAAACGGCCGCGCGCGCACGTACCCAATCACACACACACACACACACACACACACACACACACCCAAGTACACACATACAGCGCATAGTGGGCACATGGGCTCGGAGCATGTGGCAGTGAGTGAAGGGGCAGATGACATACGTCGCGCATTCATTGATGGGAGCTTTGCTGCTGATGGAGTCAGCGCCGACGCCGCCGCAGCAGCAGCAGCAGCGTCCTATAGGCTCGGCTTGCGCTCCAAAGAATGCTGAGGCTCCACTCCCTGCTCCATCTGGGGGACACATCCATTTCACTGCACCGGCTCAACGAACGCCATTCCCCTCTTATACTTTCGTGACTTGACTCCGTTCCAGCGGTGGAGAGCACACGTCCGTTTGCAGGTGTCGAATCAGGGAGAACACACATGCACAGTGTGGCCCTCCGCTGCTCACCCACCACCACCAGCAACTACATCATCCTCACCACAAGCAGCACGAACATACATACATCACCCAGCCTGATGCAAATGAAGGGATTTCCACATTTCTTTACCTTTCATCCAGTCCAGCACTTGCTTTGGTGTCCATTTACTTATTGGTTCCATAACCAAAGCCATGGTGTCACAGTCTCTCCGAGAAGAACGGCGCAGGACTCAATGTGGGAGACATAAAACGAAACTTGTCGGTCACATCTGGAACGAGACGGTGGGCGAATCTGCGGGAAAAGGGAGGTTTATCAGTTTCTCTCCATCAGAGCATGGCCGCCTGCAGAAGCGGTGAGCGGGATGCGGTGGTGCATTCCACGCGCACACACGGAGACACGCACACACGCGCTCTCTCCTTTCCCTCCCTCTTTCTCGTTCCCTCGCTCTCTTTCTCTCCCCACTCACTCTCACTCTCTCTCTCTCTCTCTCTCTCTCTCTCTCTCTCTCTCTCTCTCTCTCCCTCTCTCCCCCTCGCTCGTGCCTTCCCGCCAGCAGCCCGCGCGCTGTGAGAAGTGGATTCGGTGGGCGCGAGGGGATGGAGCGAGCCCTCCCCCTTCTCCTCTCCTCCTCCCGCCCGGCTCGCTGCAGCATCACAAGGGCCACCACTCATATAACACGGACCAGGGAATGGTGCAGCGTACACCATATAGGGAGGATCTCTCTGTGCCCCCCCCCCCCATCCCGCCCCATCCACTACACATGCACAGAGAGCTCAGAGAACTCCAGCAGCCCTTTGATGAGGTGCTTGGAAAAGACGCCGTTATAGCACAGTAAGGTGCTTTTAGTAACAGGCATCTTAGTACATGAAATAATACACGAAGGACACGTTTCCATGATTTGCATTCATACAAATAATTCGTGTCGATGAACAGTTTCCGCGTTGTGTATTTTTGGCAGGCGCGTGGCAGCCATGTCACGAGGCAAGAGAGTTCTTATCTGTCTTCTCCCGAAGTTTACCATATGTACAAATCAGCATCAGTTGTCAGTGGCTGGTGCGCGAGCTACGCTGTGAGAAACAGCGCCCCCCGCTGTGCACCTGACACACAGGTGACGTAATGGATTAAAGCAGCGCGTCCTCCATCACCTCCTAAATAAGGCTCTAGGCTCTATATACAAAGGAAGCTGGAGAAAGTTGCAGGAGGTACAATAGCACGACAGATACACACTGAGGGACAGATGATAAAACACAATGGTTACGGGGTAACTTGCTTTATTTGTTTCATGGAACCAACAAAAATATATATTCAAAGTGCAGATATGTCAACCCTCAAACAATTAAGGGATGCTCTACAATGCAACAATAATATCTGATGGTCCTTCAAATTAAAACGTATGTGCACTCTGCTCTTGTGTTTATGTTACTGACAAAGTGACACTATTTGTGCTGACCTATGTTCATAGACAGAAGATGTACTGCCTCGTCCTCCTCCTTTGCCTCGTGGTTTGGATTGATGTGGCCAAATTCTTCCTACATGCTCTGTTACTTACTTTCATACCGCCTGGTCTCCCTCCCTGAAACATATTGTTAGTCATACTGCAACAGAAATGCTAATACAACTGTAATAAATCATGTTTTGATGAGTGCATTACCTATGATGAAAGGAGAACTGCAGGACTACAGTGATTCTGTTGCTAAATAAAACAGTTCCCTTTGTTTTTCAGTATGTTGATCACTGGTATAAAAAAAGGATACAATTCATTGCATAGTTCAGTGCAGTATGCCAAAGCCGGTTCAAGGATGACAACTCTATGTAAATGATGAACCAATCATTTAATAATGTACAAAAAAAAGAATCAAGCACAAACATTTCCTGTGGTGGAAACACAACATTTGCTAGAATTCATCACAAAGTGTCACGTTAATGTGTCCCGTTGGGGAAGCAGTCTATTTATCAATTCTCTGTTGGCAACATTTACGGAAACCCGCTGTATCTGAATCAAGCACAGTTTCAGTAACAGACTACATTAACAAAAAACATTTCGAAAGGCACTTTTTCGTGCTGATGAGGACACAAACCATTCCCCATCCAAAGTTTCGGCGGCTCCCATGCCTGTGACCTCCTCCTCCAGCAGCCCGCGGAACAAAGTCAATGGTGGGCGGGACCACGGCGCTCCGCTTTCAGCCGTTTCCGAATGTCACGGAGATGATCTTGGGCTCCCATTGGCTCCTGTCTGCCAACACGTCACAATCATGATTAGAATTGATGATCGGACGAGCTGATTTCATTGTCTCGCAAAGGGGATCGGTGGGGAAATCTGCTGAATTTGAACGTTCGCCTGATTTTGACATCAAATATGGTAGGTGGAAGAGTGACTTCACCTCGCTTCGGGAGAGCCCCCCCCCCCCTCCAGCTTGTGTATCTTGCTCGTGTCCGCCCGTAAGCAGCGGGGTCACTTCGGGCGGCCATGCCAGGGCTCTGCAATTCACAGAATAGAAGCAAAAGTTTAGCTGCAGCTATCTACGGGTGGTGGGGGGGCGCTAAGCTAATGCTAGCGTAGCTTGCATGCTAACAAGCCTTGGCCGGCTCGGACGTGGCCGCCCGAGGCCTGCGAGCTAACTCGAGCTCTCCGTGTGTCTCCGGTGTGCTTACCGGCGGCGTGTTTACCGTCTGGCCCGCGGGTGGTGAAAGTTATGGCACGAGCATTCCTCGTGAGGGAAATGCGTTCCCGAATCCACGAGCTGCTCCCCTCGGCGCAGTGCTAACCGGACGTGCACGGCGTTTGTTTTCGCTAATTCTCTCCCGTAATGTTTCCATATTGACTGCAGCCATGCGCAGTCAGCCTGCCAAAATAAACCCGCTGGATGCTTATTGGTCGCGTCAGAATCGCCGCATGTGGCATATTTCTGGCTTCATTGAAGAAGAAGAAGAAGAAGAAGAAGACGACCCTCTTAAACGGAGCAGTGGGAGCGTTGCTAAGGTTACCGGAGGCTGCCGCGATCGCTCCTCAGTGAGCGGACACGCATGACGCACGTCGGCTCTGAATCCCGTCACTCTGCATCTCAGTTCAATAGTAACTTAGTTATGTGCGCGTGTGTGTGTGTGTGGGGGGGGGCAAGCCAGCTGTGTCTTTTTGGCATAACGCATAACTTGTAATTAATAGGTGTATGATAGTTACTACATAGTGACAAGCTTAAATAGTTTTCACTTCATGAATAGAACATTGTTTTAATGGGAACAACATCATCTATCAGCTTGATTGATAGTGTTATTGATGCTGCACAGTGGCTTGTCACAGCCTATTATACTGTGACTGACAATGGGTAATATATTATATGGCAAAGTGTTGACTGGCTGTCAATGATTTCATTAAACTGATCCGTGCACATCTCAACCACAGGAAAAAAAGAACTAGTCCTTTGCTGTTTCAGTTCTTCTAAGCATGCTCAGTTGTCGCGACTCTGTCGTACACTTTAACTCCTAAGTGTAGTCTGCATTGCTCTCTCCTCAGCCGCATTACCCAGCTGTGTGCCAGGTACACTGAGACGCCATGAGGACAATCAAACTCATGCTGATGTAGAAAAATGGAGGTTTTGCTGTGATCTGCATGGCTGCCCCGTTCCCCTCCAGTGGCAGAATGGATGCATGGGCACAGAGGCGCGGCCTGCAGACTGTGAGTAGATCTCAAGTTGCATTTCAATATGAGCTGGAATATATATGTATATGTATGTATATATTTTTTAAGGCAAATTTTGAAATTACAACAAATTGAAAACAAAGCCCGTCGACGGCTGCTGCAGCTGTAGTCTTGAGACTGTGACAATGTCAGGGCTTAGAACTATGTAATAGTTGATTTGTTTGCTAAATTACTTTTATTCTAGCACTAGTCAAAACGCACATTTTTAGATCTGCTTTTAATGTGTAATTAATGCTGTTCTTATATGATGTCTTGAATTTATGTATATTTTAACCATGTAAAGCGTCTTTGACTACTTTGAAAAGCGCTATATAAATAAAATGTATTATTATTATTGAATTAATATTATGTCGTAATATTTAGACGTAAATCAGGAACACAGGCCTTCATCTTCTGTTCCATAAACCAAAGTTAGAGAAAATGCCATCAAGTGTCTGCGTTCCCTTTAAATGCTTTATCTCCTTGACCTGATCATCTAAAGTGAGTTCTTTATCTCTGCCACTGTCTCTCAGATGAACCTGCGCTCGGTGTTTACGGCTGAACAGCAGAGGACCCTCGAGCGTTACTATGATAACGGGATGACCAATCAGAGCAAGGCCTGCTTCCAGCTAATACTGCAGTGTGCTCAGGAGGCCAAGCTGGACTTCAGCGTGGTCCGGGTAGGTAGGCCCGTAAAGATATTCCCGCTTTTTTGTGTGCATGAGCTAAAGGCAAGCAGGACTCTGTCTGATTTGTGGGGCAAGTGACTGAGAATGCGTGAACTGATGTTTAGTCGTCAATTATTGTCCTCACTTAGCTGTATTGCTTACAGAACATTTTATTAAGTCATGTTTCTGAACTGGTTGCTCTTCTCGCCGCAGACATGGGTTGGCAATAAAAGACGTAAGCTCGCCTCCAAGGTGGAGCAGAACGGAGCCGTGTCTCATTCCTTACCCAGCCACGGACTCGCTGGGGGGTTGCTCTCCGGTCACTCGTTAGCAGGAGGTCCACTGTCCCACCACGGCCTGGCGGCTGTGGCGGCGGCGGCGGGGCACCTGCTTCCCGCCGATGTGGCTGCAGCGCGCAACATCCAGAACCGTGTGCACCTCCTCCCGCCGTCCTCGTCCTTCCCGTCTTTCTCGTCGACATCTTCCTCCCCTTCCTCTTCCTCTCCCCATAGCAGCGGTAGCAACAACAACAGCGGCGACGTCATACTGACCGGGATTTACTCCCTCAACTCCGTCGCCCGCTCCCAACCGAGACCCCCGGCGCCCCCATCTCAGTCAGACTTTGATGTCCCCGCACACACGTCCCCACATCTGATCAGCCGGGCCCTGCAGAGCAGGAGCAGCTCCGCCTCCTCGCCTCTCCCCTCCAAGCTGGTCTCGCTCGCTCAGAACCTCCCGCCCCTTACATCTGCCTCAGGGCCGTTAGTCTACACTGCAGTCAGGAAGGGGGCTTTGTCCGTCGGGGAGGCTGGGGCAAGTGCAGGAGAAGGGGCAGTACCTCTCAGCTGGACTAGGCAGTACGGTAGAGTGCAAACTCGCCCTTGGTCCTCTTCCTCTCTGCCCCAACCTCAGCCTCAGCCCGGACCTCACTCCAACCCTCAACCTCAACCAGCGGCCCCTCAGAAGACGCGGGTCACCCTCTCGGTGCAAAACTCAAGTCCCTCGTCCAAACAGACACCTCGTATCCAGCAGGTCTTCACCTTGTCCCGAGGGAAGCGAAGGGGACACACTCAGAGACTCTCCCGCTCGCTTGGGTCAAGGGTCGACGAGGAAAAGCCAGGAGACGGCACATTCCCTGGACCCCAGTCAGAACTTCTCCATTGCCATGGAAACCGGAAATGAAGAAGACGAGTGGCAAAGGGAGGAGGAGCTGGCCAGTATGGCCACCCAGACCCACCTCCACAGGGAGCAGACGTCGAGCAGACAATCTGAAGCATCTCTGGCGAGAAGAGAGCACACGCCGCCTATGACCGGCACCAGACCCGCACTCCTTCACGGCAACACAACTCTTCAGGGCAGCTACTGCGTCACAGCACAGACCTCACTGACAGGGGAACCCGGCTCACAGGTAGGAGACGTTTGCCGCTGCTTTCCTTCAAAGTGAATTAAAAAGACTTGAACCTGACACTGTGTGTGTGTGTGTGTGTGTGTGTGTGTGTGTGTGTGTGCAGACTCCACTTGGCGTGTCTGCCGCCCCCTGGGTTGTCAGCAACTCCAGAAAGAGAACAGTCAGTACCTTTTTGTTAATTTTGTGGTCTCTTTAAACACAACGCTTCAATATATAGTGCTGCAAAATAGTATTTGCCCCCTTTTTTGAGATGTTTTGCCCTACTTTACTTTGTTAGACAAGTTCTATTTAACTTATGTTTGGCTCTATCTTTGTCTAATATTAAAATTTGATGATCTAACATTTAATGTGAAATCACACCACTGTATATTATAGGGGGGGGAAGAGGATTTAAAGGCACCAGGTGTGCTGAATGGTTATAACCCTGACGCAGTCAGGCGGACTATCAACGGGAATATTCTGTACTTAGATGCAGATTTTGTGTTTTTAGCTGCAGGACCGGACCCAGTTCAGCGACGCGGATCTCATTCAACTGAAGCGCTACTGGGACCGAGGCATGACCAGCCTGGGCTCGGTCTGCAGGGAAAAGATCAACGCTGCAGCCAACCAACTCAATGTGGACACTGAAATAGTCAAGGTAACCCACTCCAACTCTCATTTGTCAAAACCAATAGACCAGCGTCCCCGGGCTATAGTGTCTGCATCCGGCCACTCGTCCATGTGACACGGGAGTAGTGTGGATGTAACCGTAGTGAAAACAACCGTTTGACACAACCTTTCGAGAGCTGAAGGAAAACTTCCTGTTTTCTTGCTCAAAGTTGTGTAAAAGTCAACCAGTGCCACCGTAGCAATGCTTATGGACTAGTTCCTCAGTCCTGACACACTCACGCGCAGGGTGTAAAGGAGAAGCTTTGCCCATGCAGCATTCATTTAGTCAAGGCTCCATTTTTATTTTGCAAACTTTTTGTTTTTCTTTCTCTCTCTGACCCCACCTTCACATTTATCACACTTTATTTTGAAAAGCCAACAGCTACCACTGAATTGCGGCCCAGCATTTCTCTTCAACGTGTGTGACTCTTACCCGCCTTGTGTTTTCCCAACTGGCAGACGTGGATCAGTAACAGACGGAGGAAGTACCGCCTGATGGGTATTGAAATCCCTCCACCCAGAGGCGGGCCCGCCGTATTCTCAAGCTCATCGCCGGGAAACAAATCCCCGGCGGCGCTCAGCCCCGACGAGGCGGGACTCCGAACGCCCGAACTCGGAGACGACTTGAATGACGAGGGATCCCTCTGCCTGTCTGAAGGTTCGGCCGCTACCACGGCGCATCACCCCGCACCCGCCCCCTCAAACGGCGCGGCATTCCCATGAACTGTGTTTCTCAGCATTCCACCCTCTCTTTCTCTCACTTCTAGACTACATGGACGAATCCCAGCAAAGGGACGAAGAAGACGGGATCGACGTGTCCACTGCTACTGCACTGGTCAATCATGTGGTACGTAGATATTGCGGCACAGCCTCATTCAATTCTGTCACTTCGGGAAAGCCACTGGTAGAGATAGTGACACTCAATTACTAAGGCTATCAGGCGAATCAGAGGTTGTGCACGCTAATCAAACACAAGTTCATATGTCTGCTGTCATATGTTCATTGCATACGCAATCAAAACCGGAGTAGATAACAGTCGTCGCAGCGCTCTCATCGTGATCGAATCTCTGCGCCTGTTTCAACAGAAGATCGAAGTCATTGACGAGGTGGGCGAATACGGAGACGATGAAGATGACGACTTGCTGGCTTCAGACCTGGACCAAATGCAGAGCATGCTGGAGTTCAAGGTGAACACAAAAACGGGTTTATGGCCGACGTTTTACGCCAAATAAAAAGCACTTCCAATAACGTCTCGCCTTTTTGGCTTTCGAACGTTGCAGCACGAGGAAGTGCAGTTCTTGGAGATTGAGCTAGAGAACCAAAAACAAAAGTACGACGAGCTGGCGAGCTTCACGAAGAGCCTCCTCAGCGCCGTGAGGACCAACGACCTGGAGAGACAGCAGGTACGCACGCCGCCGCGTTCACACGCCTCCTCCTTCGCCGGTCGCCGTTTCTCACCCGCGGGGGGTTCCCGGCGGTCATTCTGTGTGTTCAGGAACTGATGGCCAGCCTACCTCAGCCTTCGGACCAGGACTGGGACACGACGGGGGAGACGGGAACTGACGCGTCTTGCGACCACAGCGGATCCCCGGTGGCGGAGAGACCACCGGCCCCGTCGAAACAAGAAGTCCCGCTGGCCCCCGTACACAAAGAAGAGCCGTCGACGGAAGTTAGCGAGCCCTCTGCATCAGAGGAGCGACTGCAGGAGGCGGTTGCAGAACAAAAGTGACCATGTCATGTGCATCCGCTCGCATAGACTCATACAGATGTTTTAACACTGATTTTGGACTATATGGTTTTACGCACACACACACACACGCTCCGGTAAACCCATGCTCTACGCCCAGTGCCTGTGGATTGACGTTTCACTACGACTGTTGGGCTGACAAATGCCTTTTTTAATGCATATCATGCCTTGCTCTGGACCGGTCCGGAGAGAACAATAAACAACCTCTAACTTATCTGAATGGCTGTTTGTTTCACTGAGAGGAAATGTCACTTCTCCCATCAGTCAGCACAGCAGAAAAGCACAGCAACTGTCCAAAGAATAATGGTCACCTGTAGTGGCCAATTATTTTGTGTTGCAGTTGTAGGCTTCAAACTAAATAACCAGCATTTCAATCATGAAAGTCAACCACGAATCACATACAATAACGTCAAGGGCATTAACTATACCATACGCACACTTATCCCATACGCATACAGGTCCGAGGGGGGGGGGGGGGCAGGAACGAGCGACATCCAGGACGATTGACAATGACGCGACAAATGACACAAGAGACACACGGCTTAGATACACTAGGGAGGTGGCGGAAAACTACAAAATAAGACAGGACGTGAACCACACCGTGACAATACCCATTGTCACTTACACAAACCATTATTGTTTGTTGCCTTAAGATGATTTAGTTGCCGTATTAGATTCACAATTGCATTTTAAATGGTGAGTTGTGCCCATGAACAAGAGGTGTAGTGTTTTACATTATCTCACCGCACAAACGCTTTGTGCTGGTGGATGGGAGAGAGCTGGAGGGGAAAGTGGATGAGTTTTAATCCTCTTATTCCCTCTTGGACTCCGGATGGACAGGCTTATGAAACAGTGGCTTTAAAACATTCAACTTACACCCTTAAGATCAGAGGCTTAGATTTCTGGCTCACCACCAAGAGTCTGTTGTGCCTCCTAATTTTACCCTGCGTCAGTCAGGAACTAAACTCCTTTGTCCTTTTTAGCAGCACGGGGCTATTTCCGTTTTTCAAGCGAATGCTCCATCACCGTGATGCATATACGTCCACGCGCAGGGGTCACGTCCCCCACGCAGCCGCGTCCTCTAGATCCCCACATCCGTCGCTTTGGTTCGGACGGGGGGGGAATCCTTCACTGAGTTGCGTCACAAATACGTCAATAAATTCTCATTCACTGACGACCAGGTACCACGATAGCCGCCATATTCGCATCCATGGCAGGGTAGCGGCGCTCTAGGCAAGCGTGTGGTCCAGATAAACAGCATCAACCACCACCCCCCACCCCCCAGCAGCGACCCCCCCGGACCTCCGATCCCCACAGCGGCCCGCGGCCACACGGCTCGGATCTGGTCATCGAAGCAGGACAGCCGGACTTCCACGGAGGGGAAGACATGCAACGTGGAGCCGGGGTCTAGGACTGCGATGCCGTAGACTTGGAGAGCAATCCTGGCACAAGATGGAGGTAAACAGCGTCTGTAGTGAGGTGAGTTGATAAACGCCCGCTTCGATTAACCGCGTATTTAACATCGTTTGGCTCCGTCCCGTTAAGTTAGCGTGCCCCGCTAGACAGGCTAGAACTTACATTCGCGTCACGACGTGCAGCGCACCGTGATGCATGCTAACGGGCTAGCTAATGCTAACAGCTGGTTCGGTGTTTATTTTTGTTGCCCCGTTCGGGTTTATTTGTTTGACCGCTGCCCTTTTGCGGGCACGCGGTGCCGCTCGCCGCTCCGCGGAGGCGGCGGGGCTCCGCGTCCAGCGACGCGTGACCCGCTCCGAGCTTTTGTTGTTATTTACACTCCTCGAGAGGAGTTTGCCTCGCAGCTAGCCTAGCTTGTGTAGCATTAGCATTGGAGTTAGCCTGCTAGCTGACAGCCCGCACGCTTGAAACTTTGGGAGACAAGTTTTTATTGAGCCTCCACCGTGTGTTTAATGGAGAGCCGGCGACGTGTTTGTGTGTGTTCGGGGCACAGAACGCGTCAGAGGCGTTGCAGTTAATCAAAGTTTAGCAGTAGCTGGGTCGGATTTGGTCAGACAGTCTTCTGAAGTGAGGTCTGGCTTGGCAGCAGCTCAAGTAAAAACAGTGATGCGGATGTTCGCTTTGACCGCCGTTCAACACGTGTAATAACAGTCTTTCTTTTATCTTTTGAAAAAGCTATTCGTCAACACGTAAACTGATATTATATGTGCGTTTAAAACGCATTAGCAGAGCTGCATATTCTGTCCACCGGGATCATAACAAGAAACTCTTTAATATAATGTCACCCGCTGAATTACATGTGAGCTGATTCGCCATCTGTGAACCCAAAACCTTTATATATATATATATATATATATATATAAATGTGTTTTTCTCTAAATGGTGCGTGGTGACAACTGTGGAGAGGCTCCGTGTGCGCGTGCACGGGCCCCACGTTGAAGTGTCATCTCATGTGCAGCTAAGCCGGCCCGACAACATAAACCTGTGCGGTTCTTTCACACCTCCGGCCCGACGGACTGCAGGCAGATCGCTATTGCCACGTGCATTCATGACCTGGTCCCCCCCCCCCCCAACACCACCACCACCACCACCCACCCAACGCCCCCATCACACCTCGCTTGTGTTTGGAAGACTTCTACCACTTCATCTTTTGGCAAAGCTGTAGAATGAGCTCCTCTGTGTAGGTGGCATGAAAATATTGAATAATTCATCACCTGTTGGTCTCGGAATATTGAAGTGTCTCATAATAATAATAATGTCTCATAATGTAATCTTGCCACAAGTTAAGCCCTTAAAAAAAAAAAAGAAATCCTATTTGAAAGCCACCAGGACAGCAGACGCACATAGTGAACACGCATCTCTACACTCCCGCTGTGGGCTGCCGGTCACGCTGGCTCTTTAATGCACTCACCTGTTTAAATTTTAAATGCATGTTATCAAAAGGATTGCGCACCACTCGGTGGCTGTGAGATGAGACCATGTACGAGGTGGCTGATGGCTGAAAAAGACTCGCCCTGGTTGTGCTGCGAGTGTAGGCTGCACGAGCCGCGATGAGCCACAGCTAAAGGTGGGAGTGAAAATGTATGTGTGAATTATGACACAATCACTGTCCTGGCTTCTGAGACGCACCCGGGCTTGCATTTTTATTCCTCTGTGATAAGAGCACACCGGGGCAGATTAAATTTACGTCGTTTACGTCGATGACATCACGCCACGGTGCTACGGCCATCGGCGAGCCAGGTCAAGTCAAGTCATTTTATTTTGTATAGCCCATAATCGCAAATTACAAATTTGCCTCAGAGGGCTTTACAGTCTGTACACATACAACATCCTCTGCCCCGAAACCCACCATCGGCACAGGAAAAACTCCCCAAAAAATGAAAAAACCCTTACAAGAGGGAAAAAAGGAAAGAAACGTGCATTTTGTTGGCCTCCGTTGTGTGGAGGTACGTGAGTGTATGTTGGTGGCTCCACCTACTGAGTGGGCTCGCGTAGCGCTATGACTCATCCCCCCCCCCCCCAACGCACCCCCTCTTCCGAGGCTTGATGGAATTCAACACACAAACACACTGGACTGAATACATCATGCGGGCTGAGCTTTGGCACAGAATTGAAATATGCAGACCTGGTTAAACGTTTCAGCGGTCAGTTTGCTGTGCGAATTACTCGCGGTTGCTGAAATATATCTGACATTCCTCTGCTGACAGTGTCACAGTGTCACACATCAAGGCGGCTAAATAAATGTCCAACTGTAGTCCTTTTAAACTAACACGCTATCAGGCCGAAACCCCAGAAGGAGCTGGACCCCCAGTGTCTTCTGAAGAGGTCGAATGCCGCCTGCAGCCCCAACGAACACCAGACTCCGATCCAGTCAGACATGTTGTTTTGCCCTGGCTGGGGATTAAGCTAGAATGCTAATAATGAGGGGCTTTATGGGGACAGGATGAGCGCCGGACAGCTGGTCGGGCTTAGGCCGCACCGACTCCGTACTTTTTTTCCTTTTTTTTTTTTTGACAACAAACGAGAGCGTGAGCTGGAAAAGCGAAAGCGGGCTGTCAGCGCATGTGACTCATTGATTTGATCTGTCCTCCGTCATACATGTGGGCGGGCGGCAGCTGCACTCATAGCTCTGCTCAGCGAAAAAAACAAAACTAAGGATGAGCAACCTCCGTGAAAGTGTTTTGCTGTCGCCGACTCTGATGAAAGCCTCTTGCCTTTCGCCGCAGGTCAACGGACATGAGATCATGGACGAGCCCATGGAGGAGGGAGAGTCTTTCTCACACTGCGTAAGTAAGCGACGGGCCCGCGGGTCGTTTATGGGGACGGACGTGCGGTATTCATCAGATACCGTTTTTGGCGTAGGATGAAGATACGTACGAGGAGATTCCGATCACCCACCACGTGAAGGAAGGCTGCGAGAAAGCGGATCCATCGCAGTTCGAGCTGCTCAAAGTCCTCGGCCAAGGCTCCTTCGGCAAGGTGGGGAAACTGAGCGGACAAAGCTTCCAAAGGTTGTGCCGTTGTTTCTTGTCCTTCTCACGGTCTTCCTTTTCTCTCAGGTGTTTCTGGTCAGGAAGATCTTGGGCCCAGATGCTGGTCAGTTATATGCAATGAAAGTCCTAAAAAAGGCATCCTTGAAAGGTAAAGCAACTTTGTTTTCAGTCTGGATATCCCCAAAGCGCTCTGTCCTCACTTCCTGTTTTGTCTCTACAGTCAGGGACAGAGTTCGCACTAAGATGGAAAGAGACATTTTAGTGGAAGTCAATCATCCCTTCATAGTGAAGCTGCACTACGGTAAGAGAAACTCTTATTTACATGATGCACAGCTGATTTTTTTTATATATATATATAAATAATCCTACAGGTGACATCCCAGTTCCAGCCAGAAACATTATCAGACTTGTGATAAATGGTTATAACAAAAATATTCAACAGTAATTGGTCCTTCGAAGTCAAGTTTATGTTAGATTAGAGTTTAACAGATTTACCGCTTGACTGTGATTGAGCTAATATCTGATGTTATTCTGCTATGATATCAATATCATTCATTGACTTGTTTTCACGTCTCACAGCCTTTCAGACAGAAGGGAAACTGTATTTAATACTGGACTTTCTCAGGGGAGGGGATGTATTCACTCGCCTATCCAAAGAGGTAAGCTCACATCCTGTTGCTCAACATGTCTTTGTACTAAAGTTTATAGTCCATTTGCAACTGTTTGTCTGGAAAGAAAAGTACAT